CCCCAAAACCCCAAAACCCCAAAACCCCATCTTCTTAAAATAAAGTAATAAACTACAGTATAAAATAAATTCGTTATAAATATATGATAAAGATTAAAGAAGACTTGACTTATATCTTCAATAGTTCTTTTGACTCTCCTTAATTGCTTTGAGGAACATTTCTTCTTCAAGATTTCTAGCTCCTTGAGCTCTGAGACTTTCTTCTATAACTTTTTAGTAATCTTCATCTCCGAGATGGTCGTTATGACCTGCACCCACTCCGTCATAGAGTGCATGCTCATCCATGCCCCACTCATCTCCAAAGTTTTGTCGGGCATCAGGGATTAGCATTTCATGCTGAGGAACTTCTTCCACACGATTTCTTGGAGGCTATTGCTATCTCTGACTACTTCTCTATGGCACAGCATTCTTATTTGATCTACCATCTCTTGATTCGGGGTTACCTCCAGCATAAAAGTTTTATTATAACTCTGACGCAATCTAAATATCATCTTCCTCGTCCATGAGTCTTGCAATAAGCTCTTCATTAGGATCAAGCTAAATATTAGCTAAAGGCTATTGATTGTGAATTAGTTTCGCCTATTTCGATGGTTACTAGTCCATTCTTGGTTAAACTCTAGGCTGAGGTTGGGATTATATAGAAGTTGGCATTTTATTATTGACAACTGGTCCCTTATTAGGGATTATTTGCTTTGAATTCGTTGGTATTCCAACCTTTGTTTTTATTCCTGAAGTTGTAGTTGTTTATTTTGGGGCAGAGTATTTTTATTCTTCATTTCTTTATAACTAATTAGAAGAGGCTCCACGAGTGCCTGGTCTGTTCAACCCACTAGATGCAGTTTATTAGACTGGCTTCTATTATTATTACTATTATTATAGAGGATTTGGCACATTTTTAATACTTGTTCCCGTAGGTCTAGCATTAAGTTACTAAGGAGGACCTGATCTGATTTATGTAGTGCCTGAGCTTTAATTTCCCACTACAACTTTAGTACCAATTCTTGCCTGTAATTACACTTGCTGTTAACTTGACCTTTGTTGAGTTGAATTGCTAAATCCACCACTTCCAGTAATAACACTACTCTAGTTACTTGATCCCATATAGCTACTAACATTAGTTTACTTAGGTAATCCTTGTAATTAAGTTCTGCCCTCCTTTACTTAATTGGTTCTGGGTAATTTTTCATTAACGCTTCCACCTCTCTCGTTATCAATATCATCCATATTGAAGTTATCTTCGTAAACTTTCTCCTTCTACTTTTGAATTTAAGCTTGTCTAATCTTTTCCTGCTCCTTTCGCTTTTTCTCTTCCTCTTATCTCTTCGCTTCCTCTATTCTCATTCTAAGGTCTTCCTCTTTGTAGGCTTTGCATTCTCCTCCATACTAGTGGCTATCCTCATCCTTCAAACAAATATTTCTGCCACACTCTGTACATTTTTTAGTCTTTGAACCACAATACTTAACATGCCTTTCATAATCTTCATACTTGATGACTTGCTCGCAATATCTGCACTCCTATGGTCTCATAAAGCAAGAGTCCTCATGCCCAGCAAATTAACGTTTTTCGAACTCAGATTTGCAATATTGACAGGCCACTTTGGTATGCGCTTCCTTGTCATGCTCTTCTTTCTCAGCTTTCGCCACTAAGTCGCCGCATACTGCACACACATAGTTATTTCTAGCGCAACCAATTTCATGAATTCTAAATTTTGAAACTTCAATTGGCTTTTTGCAAGTTGAGCAAGTTTTTGTTTCAACAGGTTAGTCTGATACTTGGTTATCGTTCATAATTTTAAACTTATTAATAATTTCAAAAATTAATCCAATAAAGTTTTCAAGCCTTAAATTACTTGAAATTCTTCAAGTAGGGGTTTTGGGGTTTTGGGG